TGGTGATAGCGGACATTCTTGTTTTGTTCCTGATTTTAGCATGAAGGTTTTCGGTTTTTGGTCATTTAATATGATGTTGGCTATTGGTTTTTCGTAGATAGCCTTTATCAAGTTGAGATAAAGACCATCTATTCTAATTTTCTGTAGGGTTTTTATCATGAATGGGTGTTGAATTTTGTTGAAAGCTTTCTTTGCATCTATTGAGATGATCATATGGTTTTTATCCTGTTAATATAGGTGTATTAATTAATTTACATATGTTGAACCATCCTTGCATCCCTGGAATAAATCTGACTTGGTCAGGGTGTATGATCTTCTTGAGGACCTTCTGTATTCTGTTTTCCAGTATCTTATTGAGGATTATTGCATCTATGTTCATTAGAGAGATTCACCTATAGCTCTCTTTTTTGGTTGGGTCTTTCCCTGGTTTTGGAATCAGAGTAACACTTGATTCCAGGAATTAATTTGGAAGTATTGCTTCCCTTTCAATCTCAATTTCCCTTTCAAAAGTCTAAAGAGTAGTGGCAGTAGTTCTTCTCTAAATGTTTTGTAGAATTCAGCAGTGAAGTCATCAGGACCTGTGCTTTTTCTCTGTTGGTAAATTTTTAATTACATTTTCAATTTCACTGATCATAATTGGGGTGTTTAGAATTTATCTTCTTCATTCAACTTTGGTAATTCATAAGTATTTAGAAATCTGTCCATTTCTTCTATGTTTTCCATTTTATTAGTGTACAGGTTCTCGAAGTAAGTATTGAAGATCCTCTGGATTTCTGCTGGATCTGTTGTGATTCACCATTTTCATTCTTAATTGCATGGATCTGAGCCTTTTTTTTTTCTTTTTTGACAAAGTTGGCTAAAGGGTTTATTGATTTTATCTATTCGTTCAAAAAACCAACTCTTCAATTCACTGATTTTTCTTTTTTGTATCGTTCTCTTTAGTTTCCATTGCATTGATTTCTGCTCTGATCTTTACAATTCCTCCCTTGTACAAGCTTTGGGTTTTTCTTGTTCTTCTTTTTCTAGGAGTTCAAAATTCATCATTAGGTTATTTATTTGAGCTCACTGTTTTTCTAGTGTGGGCATTCACTGCTATGAATTTTCCACATAGAACTGCTTTCATTGTGTCCCGTAGATTCCTGTATGCTGTACTGGCATTATCATTTATTTGTAAAAACTAATTTCCTTTGTGACCCATTGTTTGTTCAGGAGAGTGTTGTTCAATTTCCATGTGTTTCTGAAGTTCTTACGGTTTCTTATGCTATATACCTCCATCTTAATTGCACTATGGTCTGATAATATACATGGAATGACTTTAATTCCTTTGCATTTATTTAAACATTTTTGTATGAGCTAGTATGTGGTCTATTTTGGAGAATGACCCATGTGCAGCTGCAAAGAATGTATATTCTGATTTTGTGGGATGAAACACTCTGTAGACATCTATTAAGTCCATTTGTTCAAAAGCTTGGCTCAGTTCTAGTATTTCATTTATTTTTTTGTCTAGATGATCTATTTGTGACAGTGGGATATTTAGGTCCCCCACTACAATTGTATTAGTGCTTATTTGGTTTTTCATGTCCCTTAATATTTGTTTTATATAGTTGGGGCATTAATATTTGGTGCATATATGTTTATGATTGTCATCTCTTCCTCTTGGATTGTTCCCTTTACAAGGATGTAGTGGCCTTCTTTGTCTTAGTTTTGGTTTGAAATTTACTTTGTCTGCGAATAAGGTAGCTACCCCTGCTTTTTTCTGGGCTCCTGTCACATGGAGCACTATTTTCCATCCTTTTACTTTCAGTCTATGAGTTTCTTTTGGAAGTAGGTATGTTTCTTATTATAACATATTGTTGGATTTTGCTTCTTAATCCATTCTGCAAGTCTATTTCTTTTGATTGGTGAATTGAGGCCGTTAACATTGATGGTTATAACTGATATGTATTGACTTATTGTCATGTTATCGTCCTGTTGTTGGCTGTTTTTAATTTTTCACCCTCACCCTTTTAGTTTCTTGCCTTGCCTAATTGATTGGCTCTGTTGGGCCTTATGGTATTGTAACCTTCATTGTCTTTTTCTAGGATATTGATCAGAATTGTTTGGAACGCTGGTTTCGTAGCCATGATGTTTCTCAGTTGTTCTCTGTCATGGAAGTACCTTATTTCTCCATTCATTTTGAGAGACTTGGATACATTAGTCTAGGTTGGAGTTTTCTGTTTTTGTTTTTTTGAGACAGGGTCTTACTATGTAGTTGAGACTGACCTGGAACTCACTATGTAGCCCAGGCTGGTCTCAAACTCATGGTGATCCTCCTGTCTCAGCCTCCCAAATGCTGGGATTACAGGAGTGCACCATCACGCCCAGCTTGGGGGTTTTCTTTCAGGGCTTGGAATACCTCACTTTGGGCTTTCCTTGACCTGAGATCTGTTTCTGTTCTAGAGTCTCTAATGTCTTTGATTGTGCTCACCATCTCTATAGTTACCTGGGAAATTGTTTTTTTCTAGAGCCTGATTGATCTGTTTTGCTACTTCCTGTGCTAGGAGTTCAGGGTGTCCTGGTGGTTGATTGTCGGACTTTTCCACCTTGTTTGCCAAGAATTTGCCGTTGGTGAGCTGGAAGTCTATATTTGTGCCTTGCTTAAGTGTTTTCTCATTTTTATTTTTGTGGGTGGTGCTGTTCTTGGTTTAATTCCTGGGTTAGTACTTTGATCTTCCTGATATAGCTGCTCTTTAGGTTTCAAGTCTCTAATGACTCAGAGACACTCTCTTTTCATAGTGTCAGGAAGGACAACTGACTAAATCAATCACAACCCTTTAGTGCAATTGATACTCAGGAACACAATAGCATCAAGCATAGCTTAGAGATTGGCAATTTGTGGTAGTTATTAATCTATCGCCTTTAGACATGTGAATTAAATCAAAGTCAAGGACCAGCCCTAAATGTGTTTATAGTGAATAAACTCTTCAATATAGCAAGTTTACCCTTCAGGATGGGACTTAGAAAGAGTTAGGAGGAGAGGAATTGATAGGTAAAAGAATAGAAGGCTTCAAGTGAAGCCAGAGGACACAGGATGATCAAGCAAGCTTTAGGAAACCGTTGAAGACAAGAGGGAAAGACAGAATGCAAGAACAAAGACAAGAATATAATTTAACAGTAATAGGGAAGCTATAAATTGTACTCACTTTCCTTTGTAACTAATGACAAACAAGCAACGGAAAAAGAAGAAAAGAAAAAGAAAGGAGAAATCCCAATTAGGGCAGGAACAGGAACAAAAAGGGAGATGAAGAATAATGTAGGGGAGCAAGAGACTGAGCGGGAAAAAGAAGAAAAGAAAAAGGAAGAATTTGAAGAATGGAAAAAAAAATTTTTTAATTAAAAACAGGAAAGTGAAAAAAAATTTGAAGAGCCTCTTTCAGGATATATCTTGCTGTCACAATAGACATGTGGATAGCAATGTGCAGAACTAAGTCAATTAGTCTCAGGTAGCCAATGGCAGACCCGAGATTCAGACTGAATTCTGGCTGCAAGGCCCAAGTTGAGCTCCCTGACCCCCTGCAGGGTTGAATTCTGCAAGGTTCTGTTGCAGGTTCCAGCTGCCCTTCCCCTGAAGATAGTTCAAGTTCTGATGGAAGGTGGTGATCCCTCAAACTTACCAACTACAGAGGTCTGATGGGCCTTTACTGCAGCTGTTCACTTCTGTTCTATCTTCTGGAGCTCAGTACAACAGCCTTTATGACCACCTGTGCCTCTGCAGTGCGGATCCAGGTGCTGGCACAACTAGGAGGCCTGAGCATGGATGGGGGGATGCTGCAGATGCACTGCAGCTGGGCAGTCCTCACCAGTCTGCTCCAATGAAGGCTTGGGGCGCTGGAGGGTCGGGGAGCAGTGAGCTCTGACCATGACCCTTAAGGAGCATTAAAAATGCGGAAATGCTGACAGCAAGTGTTACAGTGTGAATCAGCTACCAGCCAGATCTGCTGCCCTCCCTCACCCCCATCCTTGGCCTGTATTTAACTTTTCATGTTTAGATTAACCCTTTTAGCAATTCTGCCCTCAGCAGCAACCCAGAAAAAAAAAAGATGATGATACGTGTTTATGCAAGCCATCAAGTAATATGTAGAGATTTGCTACAACTGTAGCAGGAAATAAGATCTAGAACATTCTGAATGTAAATATTTCACAGAATGATTCCAATTACTTTAAATGCCACATAACAAAGTACTACTACAGTAATCGACATTGCCCCAGGAATGAAAGTGAGAGCCAAAAGGTGACATGGGGCTTTGAAGCTGGGCAATCTCAAGTTTGAATCTCAGCTTTCCTCCGTATTTGCTATACAACCATAGACAAGTACAGCATCAGTAAGTTCCCTTGCTTATAAAAGTGTACAGCATTAATTTGACAAAGCTATTTTAAGATGACATCTGTGATTAGTGAACACATCGTGCAGCATTTATGGACCTGCATGCTAAGGCTACTAAGCCCTGGGGATGAGCTCATCGGAGTAGGTGGTTTTAGCCTCAGTTCTGCTTTGTTCTGACACTGTAACAAATCTTCAACATGTCTAGCCATCACGTATAAACATGTCTTCTGTACGTGGATCTCAGCTTCCACATGCTACCCATTGTAAGAACATCCTTGTTCCTGACATTAACTTTGATATTTTCTTCCTACCTCAAACACTAGAAGATGACATATTAACAGTTGTAAAGAACTCACTTTATACATATCACTGCCCTGTAGTGACTAGAGTAACTCTTTCTGGTAATCTGTTCAACTCTCCCTCTTTGTTAAAAACGAAATAATACACAACACAAAATCGGGTTACTTACCAGCAGGAAGAAAATGAATCTGTGGTCTAGCTGCAGCTCAAAGCATGGGTGGAGCATTTCTACGTTGTTTTATACCTTGTTTTAAATGTGTTGGTAAAAAGAAAAAAAAACATTGGCCATATTAGGGATGATTAGCACTAACAGACTGAACATCACAAAATTTAAAACTCTGGTCTCCATAGTGTTTATTTTACTTCTCAGGTTTTTTTCCCCCACACAATAGGCATATACTTATATAACGTGAGGCAGACCCACATTTTCAAGGGAAAAAGAAAAGAATATGGTTAAAATAGAAACTTTGCACCCAAGATACTACTCCAGTGTAAAAATACTAATAAACTGGCTAACAACCTGAAAATTGGCCTATTACCTATTTAAAGACCAGTCAGTTTTAAATTCAGGAAACCTCATAACCTTACTCACAGGAAGATGGATGACAGCAGTGAGTGTTCCCACGCCAGCTCTGGTGCTGAGGTCTGTGCCTGTCACTTTCAACTATATTCCTGCACAGCGCACTCATTATTTTATGGATGAGACAGAGCTTGTGTAACTGAGTGTAAGTGTGCACATATGCCCTGCTCTGACAACAGAAAAACTGCCTGAAAGGCAGTCCCAGAGAAGGCTGAGCAGCGTGCCACCTTGGTGTAGACAATAACAAGTCACAGTAAAGCTTAATCCAGAAACAGCTGAGAAAGGGATCTAAGAGTATTAACTGGTAACGAGCAGGTGTTCAAAGACAACTCAACTTCCTTGTTCCCTTCAGTAACTAAGTGCTGGACGGTTAGAAATTCAGTGAGGAAATTCTACACAGGTAAAGGGCAGTGTTAGTAGCTGCAAATCTAATTAGGTTTGAAATCCCAAAAGTAGAACTTCAGATCACCTCAGATTTTCAACTTACAAAAATCAATATAGATGATGAAATCATGCAAATATTAAGTTGGGCGAAGCATAAAGCCAAATTGGAAAGTAGACATTTGAACACATCCCATTCCCTTTCCCTAACACTGCTTCTGGCTCTATCAGCCACACTTTAGTGACAGAGTAGCCCATTTCCTCAGGTGCTTCTTTAATAACAACAGTACTGGTATTTGAAATTGCAACACATATTTCAGAATTTGGGAGCTTCTGGGAGCATAACTTTAACCCAGCCTTCCATAACAGTTTTTTTACTTTCTATTACAGAACATGACACTGCAATAAAAGCAACAAAACGCTTGAGTCTTTTCACTTCTGCAGAAGCCAAAACAACTTCTCCAATATATAAAGGAGCCGGAAAGTTAATTTCCTGAGAAAGAAACACACAACCTGGCCCTGGCATTTTAGTACCCAAGAGAGCTGAGATTAGTCCATTGATCAAAACTCCATGTACAATCGTCTTTCTGAACTTGGTGTGTTTTGCAAAATCTTCATTTAAATGCAAGGGATTAACATCTCCAGTTAATTCTGAGAAGGCAGCCACATCCCTCTGTGTGAAGGCCCTGCTGAGTTCAGCCCGGTCTCCAACTCTCACATGCAGGTGCTCAAACTGCTGTCTGTTCAGCACAGGTCGATTCAAGAAGAATCTCCTCTGAAGTCCACCCCAGCAGAGCTGATGGCTGGGTATTCGTGGGAACATCTTTAAATATCATCAGCAGCGTCTTTAAGCCTGCTTCTATTTTCAGACTTCAAGATATCAAGAAATTCTTTCAGGAGCAGATGAAAAGTTTCTAAAATTAAAGACTATTCAATTCAACACTAGTTCCCTACTATTACCGGATAATGCAAGGAGAAAGGGAGAAACCTACAAAAGAAAAGCATTAATACAGTGTTAGGACAAAATTGTACTGAACAGGGCAATGCAGAAACATGTCCAGTTTTATAGGATAAATAAAGCTACTCTAGTAGTATTTTAAAGAGCATCTTAGCTAAACAAGCTCAGAAAGAACATACCAATGGGTAACACCAGGCGTAAGCATTAAATGAAGTTAAGCCTCCACCACAAGTGTTCCAGGTGTGATCCCCAAACACTTCCCATACAATCTAAACTCTAAGTGCTTTGTTTCACATTTCCAATAGGATGAAGTCCTGGTTGCCAAAGGCATTACTACATTAGCTTTATTCAAGCAAGAATGAGACACTCTGACTAAAATCAGATGATCCACACTCAGCCTTGTTTGTAACATGTGAAGGAACATACTATCTTTACCTGAATCACTCTGAAAGCACATTTTTTGCCTTTATAGGATCCTAGCAGGGTCAAAGAGCTCCACAATCTGACCATTCCACTGCAGAAAGACATGAAAAAAGTAAATATAAGACTTGTCCCCACATCTCCCTTAATACTTTTCTTTGCTACAGTCCATAAAGTTATTTTTTAACCAGAAAACCTGATTTAAAAGAGGGAGGAAAAAACACCACCAACAACAGAAAACAAACCTCAAAACAAACTTTAAAAGCATGGCATATCATCACAGGCAGAAAAAAAAACAAAAAACAAACAAAAAACACCCAACAACAACCTATAAGAGTTTTTCTAAAATACTTTTTTAAAAAAAGAACTAGCTTCACTGTTTGCCTTTTGTTTTATTTTTTGTGGAATTGGGGATCAAATTCAGAACCTTGTGCCAGCAGGTATGACACCACTGAGCTACATTCCCAGCCCTAAAATATACATTTTTCAGTGTGCAACCATAATGATTAACTGGGAAACTCCGATTTTAACCAAATCACAGGTTCTGTTCTATGAGCCCCTGACAGGTGAATGTTCATATTCGTTTCAGTTTAAATTTCCATAAGTTGGTCAGAGTTCACAACTGCAACTCTTCTCATCTGTAAAGCGAGCATTTTTGTCATTTCTCAGTCTCTTGGCCTCGTTGTCCTAAAAGAGCGATGGAAAACCTTTTAGAGACCAAGTGCCCAAACTGCAACCCAAAACCCACTTATCACAAAGTGCCAACACTGCACTTAAACCTGAATACGGAGGTTTAATTTAGGAAACAACTCCTACGTGTGCTGCCCTCAGAGTGGCTCTGCATGCCTGCCGCCCCATGCATACCCCAGGTTCACCATCAATGTCCAGGAGTGTTCCAGTCCTACCTGCTGCATACTCTCAGGATCGCTGATGAGGTCTTCTCTTCATAGGTCAGGACGTCCACGGGCAAAGCAGCACCAACCTATGTACAGGATTATGCTATTGCCTATTACCAACATTATTCTCAAACTCTAATGGATTCTTCCAAGTCTGTTTTTGAGGCTTTTCTTCTCCAAAAAAACAGTACTCCATTTAATGCCACCGGTCATCTCAGCAGCTACTTATAGCTCCCTCTGCCTGGAATGTTCCTTTGATCCCTCTTCACCCCTCTAGTCTTTAAATTCTTTCTTCTCTGATCTTAAAAATTAGGCTCCATCTGCTTGCTATGTTCTTTCCCATACAGGACACATATTTCCTCTTAAAATTCTCATCCCCGTGACACTGATTATTTAATAGTATTTTCCTATGACAAAAATCAAGACCATTAGTCCATGAGACATAGGTTACATTTGTTCATAGCTACATCTTTGAAACCAGGTTTTATACCTGACACACACAAAGTGCATAGTTTTTTCTAAAAATGAGAAAAATTACAGGATCATAGAAGACTGTAAAACAAACTGCAGGGAGGTTCAGTACATTCTTCACTACCCCCCAGTATCAGAACCAGGCAATCGGTGTCAGAAGAAGCCAGAATTTGTTTGGAATCTTCCAGTCACATATGTACTCATATTTGTATGTGTGTGAGTGTGTGTTCTTAACACACAGGCTGCTGCACGTAACTACCACTATCAAGATAAAGATCCACACCAGCACAAGACTCCCTCATTCCAACTCCTCCTCCCGATCCCTAACCTTGGCCAGCAATGATCTTTCCCCAGATCATTTATTTTTTCAAAAGCATTACACACACAGATTCAGTCGGTATGTGATTTCTGGACTAATTCCCTAGAGATTCAGCCGGTTGTATGCATCAGTAATTCACTCCTTCTTGTTCTGGGGTATGATATAGTTTATCCACCCACTGAAAGGCAACTTGAGTGTTTCCAGTTTCTGGTTATTACAGATGAAGTGACTATGAACATTTGTGATGGGTTTTTCTGTGAACATAAATTTGAATTTCTCCGGGATAAATGCCCAGGTGTGCTGGTGCCAGGGGGTATATAGGTACATGCGATTTTTGTTGGGGGGCGGTGGTGAGACAAGGTCTCACTATATAGTTGAGACTGGAACTCACTGTGTAGCCCAGGCTGGTCTTGGAACTCACAGCGATCCTCCTGCCTCAGCCTCCAGAGTGCTGTGATTACAGGTGTGCGCCACCATGTCCGACAGTACAAGTTTTGTTTTTGTTTCAGAGTCGCCATACCATTTCATGGTCCACCAGCAATGTATGAACGATCCAATCTCTCCACCCTCCTTGCCATTATTTAAAGTTATCACTATTTTTTTATTTCAGTCATTCTGCTAAGCACAGTGGTATATCACTATATTATTAACGTATGTTCCCTTAATGGCTAATGTTCTGAGCATCTTTTCATGAGTTTCTTTGCCAATTGTACACACTCTTTAATGAAATGTCTATACATATCTTTTATTGATTTTCTAGGTGGGTTTTTTTTTTCTATTGGGTTTTGAGTTCTTTTTTCAATAGAGTCTAGATATTAATTCTTTGTTAGATACTAAGTTTGTAAATATATGCTCCCAATTGGTAGCTTGTCTTTTTATCTTAACAGAGCTTTTTGCAGGTAAGCTTTTTTGTTGTTGTTTTTAAAAGCAGAAGCAAAATTTATTTGAAAAAGTAAAAGTGTGTACAGTGAGAGAGAAAATGGCTCTGCTGACTGAGCTTGAGTAAAAGGAAAAAACATAATAAAAGAAGACCCTGGAGAAAGTAGGGTGGACTATCATGAGGAAAGCCATTTATAGCTGCAGAATAAGTTGTAAGTTTTGATAAAGCACTTGGCAGATTTTACTTGACAGAAATATGAATCAGGAAATAACACCCTGAGAATCCTGTCTTCGCTGTTCTTCTCAACTTCCAGAGCTCTACTTCTTTTCTCAAGTCAATACTGGAATAAAGCCACTCAAAGCGCTGGTTTTGCAGGAGGGCCCAACTGACTCCATCCACCTCCCCTGACTTGTTCCTTCTCTAAATCATTCTCTCCTGTGGTCACCTTGGATTCCAGCAACAATAGGTTTGATTGATAAACACCTTGCTAGAAGAGCTAAAATTACACCTCAGGCCGCAGTGGCTTTGTTATTACAACAAAAGCTTCTGTAAGAATCCTGAGATAATTATCAACCAGCCCAGGGCCTAAGATGGCCAGCCAGTGAGCCTCAAGTCTTGCCTCTGTTCCTTTTCTATTACAATCCATGTCTCTGGTCAGAAAACTGCGGCCTTCTCGGCATGGCCATACAGAATAATTCCTCTGCTGCTTCATCATCACGCTTCACGTTTGGTCTTTTAGGTTGAGTGGATGCATCTAGTCCATTGGGAACCCCAGAAGTCAGGCCTCAGGCCTAGGACACAGGTAATAATCTGTGACAGAATAAAGAGCTGCACCGAAACATAAACCAGCAGTATCACTAAGCACACTGCTCAGATCAGCTCACACTGCTTTATAAGGAAGACTTTCTCAAGAAAGGAAATAATATGTTTTTCTGGTACAAATCCCTTATCTCTTCAAGATGGGCCCAAAATCTGCAGGGCAGCAGACTAGACAATACTCTGAGTAGCACTGTGCTGAAACAAACACTTGTCTAACAAATCCCTTATCAAAAGCAAGACATAGGGTTGGGGATTTAGCTCAGCGGTTCTGCCACTTGCCTTGCAGGCGCAAGGACCCAAATTCGATCCCCAGTACCAAATAAACAAAAAAACAAAAACAAAAAAAACAAAAGCAAGACATAACAACAACCGTACCAAAATCCATCATTGCTGAAATTCCAACGTTGTACTTTCAAATAGTTTTTTTGAAACAGGGTCTCTTGCTATATAATTCAGATGGTCCTTAAACTCACTACATTGTAGCCCAGGCGATCTTCCTACCTTAGCCTCCTAAGTGCTGGGATTACAGGCATACAGCAACAAGCCCAGCTCAAGTAGTTTTAAAACAATAAAAAAGGTTGTGCTTCTCTTCCTTTTTCTCTTTGTTTTGAGATGAAACCAGAGCCTAACACATGTTCTACCTGTGAGCTATACCCCTAGACCATTTTTTGTATTTCTTACAATGAACTTTGGATTGCTGATTTATGCAGCGATTCCATACCTCCCCAAACAGGTCCTTCAGAGCAGAAACAAGCAGTTGTTTGAACTGTGCTGCACTTAGTTCAACTCCATGATCTTGAAATTCTCTGTAACAAACATTAAAAAAAGGTATCATTAAAAAAAAAAGACATCATAATACACTTTATTCTATTCAGAATCTTTTTTTTTTTTTTTTTGGTACAGGGATCGAACTCAGGACCTTGTGCTTGGTAGGCAGGTAGTGGCACCACTGAGCTAAATCCCCAGCCCCTGGGAATAATTTTTAAAAAAGGTAATTTAGCTGGGTGTGGTGGACACACCTATAATCCCAGCACTCAGGAAGCTGAGGCAGGAGGATCTCTGTTAGTTTGAGACCAGCCTGGGCTACATAGTGAATTCCAGGGCAGTCTCAACTACATAGTGAGACCATCTCAAAAAAAAAAAAAGGTAATCTCAAATAGAACTCAGGAGAGTGGACTTACAGGCAGACTTTCATGTAGTGGTACTCTGAGGAATTTTTGTAAACTATTCTTTCATACATGGTAGCTGATGCCGGCATCTTTTGCAATTCTGATCACACCTACAGCAAGAGTCAAAAGGATTAGGAATTATTAAGGTATGAACTATCTTTTCTTTTTTCAGGGCTAGGAATAGAATCCAGGGCCTGCTGCATGTTATTTTTCACATTTTTAAGGAGAGTTTGGCTTGATTTCTAAAAGACCTAGTACAGCTACTTTCGGTCAAACCGAGGTCACCAAAATGGAAGCTCCTGTACATATACATACACACATTTTTTCTTTTGAGAGCCACACCGCAAAATGGAGATGCGATGGTCAGGCCCGCAAACTTCTTAGAGACAAACAGCAGCTTGAGACTATACTATAATTAGTACCATCTGGCCCAGTGGGCCGGGTAAGCATCAGACACATTCGAGAGGGTGACCCGGACACCCCGACCCATACTCCCACCCCTTTCCAGGCATGCTTTTGTTCTAGGTTACAAGTTACAGATAAGCTAAAATTAATGATGCTTGCTACATAACCTGACTACATGCCTGGCTTTCCTACTAGATCACTATCGGCTAAACAACTATAATTGTAATTATAGTTGGTTGTAGTTTGACCCAGGCTGGCAGCTACCGCGTTGTGATTTCGCTGTATAAAATATCCTTGGACAAAAAGCCTCTGCGGCAACACACTTTCAGACCTCTTCTGTCTTTCAACAGCTTTCTCTCAAAAAACCTTTCCGACGCTTAATTTATTTGAATCCACTGTTCAGTAACAGGAGACTCGAACTTGGCACATCTGACTTAGGACAGGTTGGGAGTTACTTCCCCGGGGGCAGCTCCTCTGCTCAAACCCTTGCAAGGCTCCCCACTTTGCAGAGTAAGGCCAGAGTCCTTACAAGGGCGGGCCTCAAGGCCCTGCCTGCATGGTCAGCACCTCTCGGAACCCCTGTCCTGCTTTCCTCACGGACTCAAATCCCCGCCGCCGCCAGAGGCCTCCTAACTCTTTCTCATCAGTTTTTCCCCTACCCCAGGCTTCGTCTCCAGTTCTGGCAGACTGGAAATGCCCTTTTTTCAGGCAGCTCAAAACTCACCCCATCGCCTACCTTCCTGGGGCTTTGTGCCCATCCTAATACCGCACCATCCTCTCCTTGCCTCACCCCAGTCCTACTTTCTTCTCACAGCATCTGACACCTAACAATTCTGTAGTTCATTTCTTCAACTTCTACTCTCCTCCCCGACTTCACATTTCGTCCACCCCACGTGACCGCGTCTGCCCGGTCACTGTCATTTCTCAAGGAACTAAAACAACGTGGCGCACGGTATAGGTGTCCGACATCCAACTTTCAGACCAATCCACTACTTTTTAAAAGCTGCGAACTTAGATGGTTGAAATCTTTTCCGGAGGAACACTCTCCACTGATTTAGTGCCCACCTCGCTCCTGGCGCAGGAAGCACAGCCGCCAGCGCCCCGCTCAGTCCTCTCAGCTAGGATTTGCGACCAGAGCGGACAAACGCCTGTGCGCATGCGCCGCGCAGTCTGTCCGCCCTGCCCACGCGCAAGCGGCAGGTCCAACTAAAGTGACCCATTGAGGGCGCTCGCGGAACGAGGGTGCTCCCCCAGGGGCTTCTGCCTACTCACCTTCCGTCAGACTAGCCTCGCGCCTTCCCTGAGTCCCGTTCGCTGAATGAATTCGCCAAGGTTTGGCATGCCCAACCACAGCCGGAGTCCGTGATACTTCTGGTATAGTTACGTTTGGCTTCGTTCGGGCCCGCCCCCAACTGCGAGAAGTGAGGGCGGATATGACGTCACGCGTGACGTCTCCCTAAGGAACCCAGAATCGAGTTGAAACAAGAGCAGAGGCCTGGGGCGCAGCGCCCCCTGCTGCCCTCTCGGTGGAGAGTGTGTGAAGTAGAAATTTATTTACTCGTGCATTAACAAATTTATATCTAGTGTCTCCTGTTTTTGTTTTTTTTTTCTTTCAGTGCTTACCATCGAATCCGGATCCTCGCTCATGCTAGATAAGCGCTCTACCACTGAGCTGCACCCCAGCGCTAGCATCTCTACTGCACATCTTTGGGGACCAGCACAGGACTGTCAATGGTCCCGTCTCCCTGCGTAGTAGGTGTTCTAAGTTGACATGGAAAGATCCGGCTAGTCTTACTGTCAAATGTAAGCCAAGTTTCACCTATGCATTTATTCACTAAATGTTTGTTGAGCGCCCACTATGTCCTGGGAACTCTGGAGAATAAGGCATGGCCCTTGTACTCACGAAATATGTGTGTAAATGATGATGATGATGGTGACGACGATGACAGCTCGTATTTATCAAGTGCTTCCTTTGGGCCAGACACTGGACAAAAGCTTTTACATGTGCTATCTCACAGAACCCTTGCAATTCTAAGGTAACTACTATTATAATCATGCCCATTTCACAGAAGTGGGGCAGAGGCACAGACAGAGCTAAGTTCTTTGCTCAAAATCACACAGCTGTAAGTGGTGGAACAGGCTGATTACAGCTGGTACTCTTCACACTGCAACACACAACCACTTAACTGGGCATGGTAACCCAGTCCTTGGGAGGCGGAGGCAGGAGGATCGCTGCGAGTTTGAGGCTATCCTAGCACACAGTGCATAGAAAAGGAACTGTGTAAGTCACATGAGGTCATTGTGTCTGTGGTGGTTCTACTGCATTCCAGTCCCTGACACCTACATATTTCTGAATGCATTTTCCATCAACAGATGTGCTGCTTCAGCTTGGCTTGGGGGAGGGGAGCAGAGACCTTCTCCCTCATTTAATTTCTCAAAATCTCACTGCCTGCTGAATCTTCAGCCCTTTCCCTTAGCCATGATTTCCAGGCCTGTGGTTTCTGCTTCGCTTCCTTCTCCCCTCAGAGATAAGACTTTTCCAAATGGGGGGATCAACACAGACCCTAGACATTGGCATTTTCTTTCTCCACAAACCTTGGATTTTTGGAAGCTACCATAATTCGCTTTGAATTCATCCTTTGCCACCTATCTGGTCCCTTACCATGAAGAGATCATTAGCTTCTATGTCATAGAGTTGTGAGGAAAAAATAGTTGAGGGTGTAAAGTGCCTGGCACCCAGGAAGCTCAGTAATGGGAGTCTCTCTAAGCCAGCCTAATGGCAAAGTCATCTTTCGACGCCGTGGCCCAGAAAAACCAGAACAATTTACACATTTTGGGTTTCAAACAACCTCGGTAAATTTTTACTCTTGTGTCGAATCATGAAAAGAAAGTACCTTCCCAGCTGCCTGAATTCTCTCAGTGCATTCTGCTTAATCCAGTTGAGGACAAGAGGTTCCTTGGAGTATTAAAGACAAATTAGCTTTTATTTTTCAACTACATCATTTACTTAGTACTGGGGATTGAATCAAAGACTTTGAAACTGAGCTGCATCCCCAGACTACTTAATTTATTATTTAAATTCGAGATAGGGTCTTGCTAAGTTACTGAACTTCTAGAATGGGGTTGAATTTTTTACCCGCTTACCTCAGCCTCCCACAGTGCTGAGATTACAGGCATGCAGCATTATGTCTGGCTTTCGTATTTTTGGAATGGGCATTATAGGCCAGTGGCATATCATTTCAAATGATATAAAGGGATAAGCAATGAAAAGTAAGCATTTTTCCCAACCCCTTCTGCAACGAACCTCCTCTCTCCAGACAGTTTCTTATTTGAAAGTGTCTTCCCAGAGGTATGATATGGGGCCTTTTCCTTCTTTACAGTGCAGCATAATATTACTGCATATCAAAACACACAAAGCATCTGCGCGTGGTGGCACATGCCCGAAATCCTAGCATTTGGGAAGTTGAGGCAGGAGGAGCACTACAAGTTTGAGGTCAGTCTGGGCTACATAGTGGGTTCAGGGCCAGCCTGAACTAAATAATGAAATCCTGTCTCAAAAATCATACAAAACAGTTGCTCTGAATTGCATTAGGTGTAGTCATTTGGCTTTTGAGGGGCATTTTGGGGTCCTCTCTCTCTCTCTCTCTCTCTCTCTCTCTCTCTCTTATTCAAAGTAAATTTGTTGGAATAGAGCTGGATTAGTTCATATTCCTAAAAAATATGGCGGTCAAGGAATTAAGTCCACACCTCTTTCCCTGTGCTGTGTGGTTGCAAACTGCTGCCACATGGGTTTTGCTGGCACTGAGATGCTTTCTGAACTTGAGGAAGAAAAGGCAAGAGAGGGACCCAGGAGGAATCCCCACAGTTGTCCGTCGGGCCTCCACTGTGAAGACAGGACAGAGGACACGGAATGACCAGAAGCAGGAAGCTGTGGGACTGCAGTCACTCCTTCCGGGTAAGGAGACCTCCAAGCGCCGGACTGCTTGCCCGTATCCCCCCACCGACTGCAGTGTCACCGTCATCACCGCATTTCAGAGATGGAGACAGGGAAGCCCAAAGAGGTTGTCTGTTTAAGATGGTGAGGGGACCCCTTCCTCCCATCTGGATGACCAGGCTGGGAAGAGCGCCTTTGAGGCCACCCTGAGCACCATCTCCAAACAAGAAGCACTACAAGCCCTTCACCTGTGATTAGAGGGGCCAGCCTGTGTGAAGCCTCAGCCAGGGGCGCGGGGCTGGCAGGGAGAGAGGCTCGGCAGAGGTGAGGTCAACTGTGTCTGAGCCCTGGCAGCCCTTTGAGGCAGCAGCATCTGGAATGAAAAGTTTATCTCATATTTCCTGGCATCCCTAGGAGGTGAGCGGGGGTGAGGCAACCCATTCAGGCTCCAGGCATTTGTGAGTTGCCCGCAGCCAACACAGCAGGAGGCAGAGGGCAGCAGTGGATAAACGGACCTGGAAGGTCATGATCAGCACCCCCTATGGGCCTGGACTCTGGGCCAGCTCCGCAGTCATAAAGGACTGGAAGCTCTGACCAGTCAGGTACAAGGCAGGGGAGCAGCAGGGTGGCCTGGTTCCTACCTGAGCACCTCCCCTGCCGTGTGGGGCTAGGACTTCAAATATCTTGTTCTGCATTTCTGAAATGCATTTAAATGATGGAGAAGACTTTCCTTGGACGTATCTTAGAAGTCGGTCCCCTAAGAAAAACCTCCATGAGCCCAGGGAGACTATGGGGAAAAGATAATCACCCCTGTGGGAGCCCACTGGCATTTGACATTGGAAAAGTAACTTCTACCATTGAGGCATTGACACAATCTATGACTCTATTTTGCTTTTCTGAGATGAGGGTCTCAGCTATGCAGATGAGATTGACCTGGAGCTCTCTGTGTAATCCAGGCTAAGCTCTCTGTGTAATCCAGGCTAAGCTCTCTGTGTAATCCAGGCTAAGCTCTCTGTGTAATCCAGGCTAAGCTCACTGTGTAATCCAGGCTAAACTCTCTGTGTAATCCAGGCTAAACTCACTGTGTAATCCAGGCTAAGCTCTCTGTGTAATCCAGGCTAAGCTCTCTGTGTAATCCAGGCTAAGCTCACTGTGTAATCCATGCTGGGTTTATGGGATTACGGGTGTCGACCTGAAGCTCACTGTAATCCAGACTAGTTTTATGGGATTATGGGCGTGCACCACCACGCCCGGCAAACAATACCACTGGACTCGTCAGGTTGAGTGGGGCCTTCGCCTTTACATCAGCGGCCGTGATCCGGGTCTCACCTTTTCCATCAGGCTTTTGAAAGAACCACCTCAGTTCAAACCCATTGCCATTGGCCCCAACCCCCTTCTTTAAGAATGTTGCTTTTTTAAAGATAAACTGGGCCTGGTGGATGATAGCATTAGAAGGGTTGAGGAAAGCCTCGAACAAAGGCAGAAGCAACGGGAAAAGGACGAATCTTGGTATCAAAATTGGTTTTCCCCTTGCCCCGCTTGCCCCTGGAGATTGTTAAGTTAAAGATTGCATAGGGTTAATTGTTGATGTACGCCTTCCCACTTACCCCTCCCCACATTTGGTAAAATACTGATTGCTGTATGCTGATAAATGCTTTGTCCCTTTATGGTTAAATGCTTGAGTGACTCATGTGATTGGTAGAAGATTTGTTTGAACTGTCCAATAAGCTTGCTGAACCTTCCCCCTGGGATAACAGTATATAATCGTTTTGCTGAGCCAATAAAGAGCCTTTGATCAGAAATCAGACTTGGGCCATGTGCTCTAACTTCTTAAAGATTTTCCTTCACAGACATTCAAGATCGGATCGGCCTCTGATGACCCACGAATAAGAGGCGGCTCTCACCTCCTATTCCCCGCTGGACGGGGTCCCCCCAGAGAGCCGCACACCCCATAATTAAGCACATTATTCCTGGAGGGGCTTTAGATCCTTTCTTACAATTCAGGGATCCTCGCCCAGGGGTTCAGAGGGGGTTGGTACACTTCCTCTGGATCCTGCATGCCAGTTACAAGAATCTGGAGATCTCTAGGTTGGACCTAGAAGAGCCCCAAGGTATAGAGGGAAGTGAAGAGTGGGGAGGGCCGCAGTGACTCTTTCTGTATACAAGGGAAAACCCCACAGCTGCCACCTACAGGGTCCTCTGTATTTACAGTATGTGTGTGTGCAGGCTCCCACACAACCTTGGGGCCGGTGATAGGGAAACATGGGCTGTGCAGAGGGAATAGGAGACCCCCGTTTTCTGTATGAGTTTTTATTTATTTATTTGGTACTGGGGATTGAACTCGGGACCTTACACTTGCAAGGCAGGCAGCAGAGCCACTGAGCTAAATCCCCGGCCCTTCTGTATGGTTTTTCAAAGTGACAGCATCACTTTTATAATGCTAATAATTATTAAGTAAATACTGATACAGGAAATAATACTTAGATGAAATATGAAATATTATGTCTCCCAACCTGTTAGCTGTCTGATGTGCCGAGTTCTTGTTCTCTAAAAATGGAAGAATATGCTTGCTTCAGCAACTCATATACTACGAATGGAACAATGAATTCTAGGCACGATGGAGGTTAAGAGCAGGAAGATATTTATTGATAGGAAATCTCCTGAGAGGCAGGAGGGGACCCCGCTTAACGGGGTTTTACAGAGCGAAACCCACATGGGACGACGTGGGTCACAGCCATGACCAACCAATAAGGTTCCAAGTACAGCCGCTTACGTAATTGGTCCAGTTGGGAAACAAGTCACGTAACAAGTGTGGATGGAAAGAACAAGGGTCCTCCTAGGGAGTGGTGGGTCCAGAGGTTTGGTCACCCATCAGGGTGGCTGATGTCCGACTACACCTCATTGTTCATTAGGCCCAGTTTGTCCTGAGGAAGCTTACAGGTCTGGTCTGGTCTTTATCTTGAGGCCTGGCCTCTAGCAGATGGGTCTCCAGCTGCACTTGTGGTGTGCTTTATCATTGTCCTGACTCTTGAGGACCCAGCCGTGACTGCCTAGAACATTTCCACCTACCTCAGTAGTGTATAACAGTATGAGGACCAGCTACGGACAGGCACAAGAGCTGTGGGGTACACCTGCCTGCTGGTCCCACTCCTTCTTCCTCTGTGCACTGTCCATACCCCAGTAGAACTAAAACCTGGAATGCAGCTCCTATCTTTTTTTATTCTCCTGTCATTTAGCTGCAGTGAAAGTGGTAGTGGGGGCACTAGGAAAAAAAATCTGGAAATCGGATCACTTTATCTGGCACCCGTGCTTAGTCAGCTCCTGTCCTCATAGCCATGCTTATGCTGCCCATTAGAAATATGGATGCTGCCAGGCGTGCTGCTGCACACCTGGAATCCCAGCACTCAGGAGGCTGAGGCAGGAGGATTGCCACAAGTTCGAGGCCAGGCTGGGCTACACAGTGAGTTTAAGGGATGTAAATACCATGATCCCTTTCTGAATAGGAGTCCTTCTGAATTTGAATTACATCTGTTCCCTGAGGCCCTTGATGAGGGGTTGTTATTGTCTCCACAGTGGCCTTTCCAAGCTTTGTCCTCCAGTTACAGTCATCTGCTCCACAGCCAGCCTTGGCCTTGGGTCACTGGAGTAGTCAGAATCCTTCACTCTCCCATCCGCACTGGAGCTGCTGCCTCCGAGGGATGCCCTAGGCCTGCTGTTCCCTATCTTGATGGTTCAGAACTAAAGGTCATTGGAAACCCTAAGGGGAAGGAAGATTCTCCAGAAGCCAAGGGAAAGGGGCCACCACCTTGCTGCAAGGAAAGTCACCGAGCCAGAAGTCCTCTCCCTGTCCTAGATTAGGCCAGTGACAGTCACTCAAGACGCTTGCTCCCACTGTGGGCACAGAAGCCCCAGGGCCTCTCCCAGTTGTTACCAGCCCAGAGAGCAGCGACACTGAGCCACCAAGAGGTGTCAGACCGCATCCCCAGCACTTACTCTGTGGCCCTGATCTTGGCAGGTACTCTGAGGACATCACTGCTGTCCCATCTAGTACTATTCTCACCCCCCGAAAAACAACTCCCAATGGCTGGGAAAGTCCAGTCTGTGGTTAAAAGGACAACACCAGAAGAGGTAAGACGACGGCTCACAAGAGCCGGGCTTCCAGCTGTTGGAGAGTGCAGGCCCCTGTGCACCTGTGTGGTGCTGACCCTGAGGGGAGAGGCAGGCAGCCCATCAGTTATAAGATGTTATAAGAAGTCCTCTCTCCCAGCCCGGCAAACGTTCTAATCACCGCTATTTTCTGGGAACTTCCTCTAGGCAAAGCAACAGTTGTATTTTCCTAGGATGCAAAACAATCACCAGAGCTCAGATGGGAGAGACAGGCAGGCAGTGCTATCGCATTGATGCGTGTTATATTAATCACCCCCGGTGTCGCCCCATTCTGGACGGGAAGCTTGGGCTAATGGCAAACTGAACGCTAACCACTGTCTGTCCCTTGGCTTCTTCAACACCTGCCCAAGAGGGTCCATCCACAACGGCCAAGAAGCTCCCAACTCCAAGCAGTAGTTCTAAGAGCCCAGCTGGGATTCTTGGGGTTTTACGTTGTTATTTCAGAAGTTTCTGGAAGTTTTTCAGGAAGGGCTGAGATGGATGACCTCTTTCTTTTTGCCAGGACTTTCATCAGAGGCAAACACAACAGGGCCCAGTAGGGTCTCCCCCGTGCCCCCTGTACCAGGGATCAAATTCAGGACCTTGCACTTGTGAGGCAGGTGAGGCACCACTAAGCTAAATCCCAGCCCTCCAGTGGGGTTTTACAGGGACCAGCTAACTAGCAGTAACCAGCATGCTAGTAATAATCATGGAAGCAAGAAATGGGTATAAGGGTCTCCTCAGTGTGGTGGGGCTGGACTTGCAGTGGCATGGGAGAACCTTGAAGACCTATTTTACCAAAAAATAACTCTCAAATTCTCTGCTTATGACTTATAGTCAAGGTTTTCTGTGACAGGGGAAGGGGTATGAGCCACATCCTGTACAGAACTTGCCCGCTGTCCTTCCGGGCTGGGTGGGCAGCACATGTCCCTGACTTAATGACCCCACCAGCAACTGAGCATAAGAATTCCTGCACTCAGGAGGGCTGCCGATCTGAGAGATTAAGCCCAGATCGGGGACTTTTCCAGTGAGCCCAAGGAATCTAACACCAAGAACAACAGATTCCCTCTCCCGTGAAGCTCAAATTTCTGGTGAATATAGGAGATTACAAGTAAAACACTTACTACTTTATTTTCTATTCTGTTGAATTTTGTTTTCATCTGTTCCATTTTTGTCTGGCTTTACTATTTCTCTTCTAGCTTCCTGAGATAGAAGCTTAATTTATTGCTTTTCAGCACTGCTTTTGCTGCCTCTCACAAGTTTGATGCCACATTTTCATATGTTCTTATTCCTAAAATATGTTCCACTTTTCTCTTATAAATTAAAATATTCACATCTTGGATTTCCATTTAAACTATAAAGTTCATCTTTCTTAATCGCAGAACTACTTGGCTACAGGCTGTAAAAAGATTTGAAAGAATAAAGATCGTGGGAAGTTTAAGGCTCCTAAATGCAAAAGAGAGTCATAAGGAATACATTACTTTGATGACTTCTGGGTTTGATAAATTTCACTTGAATAAAACTGCAAACACACAATTTCTCTTTTGGGGAAAGGATACTAGGGTTCGAACCTCAGCCACTGAGCTATATTCTCACTCTTTTGAATAAACTTGCAATCCTTTTATCCAAGCAACCCAGAATGCTGGGTTATAGGTGTGAGCTACCACACTCAGCTGCGAACATGATTTATTAAGATGAAACTAATCAAGCACCTAAGCAAAAGCTTCCAATACCTGCAGAACGCATTTAATCTTAACTTTTATTTCTCAAAGCTGACAGTTGGACCCGGCCCCTTGCACATGCTAGGCAGGTGCTCTGCCACTGAGTTACCTCCCTGGCCTTAAAGCCTTTTTTTAAAAACACATTTTAAAGTTAATAGAAAATCTACCAACATTGCACTTCATTAGGAGCTCCAAAATAGGAACCATTTAAAGGTTGCTGATCTAGATTTCATAAGCTTATTTCACATCATTGTGGTCACTTTTACAGGTGTTTAGACTTATTTTTTTCAATCACATTACTGTTCAGAGAATTCGCAGAATTCATTAACAAACTAGTATGTTACATCCGAGGGTTTTCAGGAGCACAGCAAAATAGAAAAGAGGCCCATGACCTGCTTGAGTGTGGAATTGAGTCTGATTATTTAGATAGCTGTCTAGAACACTATTGCTTTATTAGCCCTATTTTAAAAGATAAGAAGTGATTCCTAGGAAACCCGCCCTGTCCAGCGATCCCCATCTGCACCTAGGTTCACTCAAAGCACAGCAGACTGGACCCGTGAGTGCCAAACCACCCACCCATGTGTCCTGCTGCCTGGGCAGGTGTAGGGCTGGCCATGCCAGAGCAGTGTAGCTGCACAGATTCATACCAGCGGGAAAGGCGGAAACACCTCACGCAACTTGCCACCTTCCTCCTTGATACTGTGGCCGACAGACTGCAATCACACACGGGCTTCCATGCAAAACTTAAGAACTAGGCAAAGGGGGATGCAGTGAATGAGGACTGTGCTCCTACAGAAGCCCCTGGCCATGCATGGGAAGACACCTGAAGCAACAAAAATATCTCATCTCAATGTGCAGGGAATGTCTGAAAGAAAACGTCCTCGATGATCATGGTCCAGGGTGGCCACTTCCACGAACTTGTCGGCAACATAAACTTGAAGACTTCTCAGGAGATTTCAGGGCTGAGTTTTCTTATTTTGTTCCATGTGAGTTTCCATTTTGAGAAAAAGATCTTGGAGATTTTCTGGGGACTCTGAAGCTCTGTGGAACCAAGGATGATGGGAATAGGGGACCGGGTTCCTCAGCTCAGGGACGCCGGCACACCGCTGCATTTGGGGCAGGATCCCTGAGAGTGGTTGGTGGCCGCGTCAGGTTTTGGGGACAGGAGCAGATGCTGTGTGCAGAATGCAGGCTGCTGTTCAGGCTTCAGTCCAGTTTCTTGTTGTCGTCTGTGTTGTGAACGGAAGCTAAAAAGTCAACGATGAGCTTGGCCGTCTTCCTGGGTCTCTCCATCACCACTGAGTGCCCACAGCTTTCCAGAAGTTCCACCTGGCAGTTGTTGATTGACGTGGCCAACATGTCTGCCCCAGAAACGTCAAGCACCTGCCGGGACAGAGGGAGTGAGACAGCACACAAAGGCTTGGATATCCCACTGTACTCTGGGTGGGATTTCCACCGAGGCCTGGCAGGGGTCGGGCAGCTGAGGTGAATTTAGGGACTTTGCTGTCAGGATTTGAGACTCTTAGATGGGACTGTCCAGCTTGGCTCCTGTTTCATTCTGCCACTTAGTACCGGGAAGGACACTGCCACCAGCAATGCTGTGGAAAATACAGCACACAGTCCCTGACTGTAGGAGAATTATGGTCTGGTGGAGAGTAGACAGGTTCAAAGACTAACATACTGTGCTGTTCTGGGGACTCTGCTGAGAGAGGATCCTGGGTGTGAGAAAGTACAGGGGAAGGGCATGGAAGGAGAAGACATCATGCATGAGTCCTGGGACAGCCGAAAGGGCAGCAGGAAAAGAGCCAGAAAGCTTGGGAAGCAAAAGGCCATGAAGTAAAGGACCACTGAAGCCTCTGCTATTGGGCCTCTGCCCAGGCATGGTAAACAAAACATAAAGGAACTGATCGTATTTGTAGCAGGCCCACAGAATCAGGCTCTTTCCTTGGAGAAAAACAGACTTCAGAGTTTAAGAAGAAATCCTGGACATGGGGCTGAGGCCAGCCACCAGAGGCAGAAGGCAAGTGGAATGAAACATTTGTGATAACTGGAGAATGATCACTTTCACATACACTATCTTATTTGAGCCTCACTATTACCCTGGATAAGAGTGGGGTACATGTAGGGGCTGGGCAACCTGCTGTGGGTCACAGCTACTAAAGGGCCAAGGCAGAGCTTCCACGCAGACTTTCTGACTCCAAGGCCAGTGCTCCTGCTTCTGCAGTTTCCACAGGACTGTGGTGATGGCCTCTCCCTGTTGATCCCTGAGAGCTCCAAATCACCTTTACGATGAAGAAAGGTCTTCATTGTTCTGGTTCTCATTTCTGATCAAGTGACTCCTTGCTGGAAGAGTCTGGATCCTGCTTCTCTGACTCAGGCGCACACAAAGCCTCTTTCAGTCACTTGGCTATTGGAGAAGGGACACATGCGACCTCCTCTCCTTGTCCCCATTCTTGTGCCTGTGCTATGGGTTTGCTGACCCAAGACAACATTCCCCTCCTTCCCCGCACGTGGTGACCACATGGTTGGATTCTCCTCCCAATCTCTCCAGCCCAGGCCTGAATGAGACTTACTGCCTTTGCTTTCATCAGTGTGAGAGGTTCACTGTGATGGCTTTCACACTGGGGTCTAGCATGGTTTGAATGTATCTCCCAAAAGTTCATTATTGGAAACTATGTTCCTGCCCTCGTGAATGGATTCACAGATTAATGACAGGTCTGTCCTCACGACTGATGTCACTATCACAGGAGTACGTGCACTACCATGGGTATGGCTTTGTAAGGTGAGCTCCATCTGGCACCTTGCTCTGGGTTACCATTTGATGCCCTCCAGGCATTATGAGGTAGTACCGAGGCCCTCACCAGATGCTAAGCAGATGCTGTCATTCTCCGCTTAGATTTTCCAGCCTCTAAAAGTGTGAGCCAAATAAAGTGCGGGTCTTTATACATTACCAAGCCCCAGGCATTTTCTTGTAGCAACAGAAACCAAACCAAGACAGAAAAAAATCTTCTTTCTAATATCTTTTTTCACAATATTCAATAGCACAGGACTCCTGCGTACTTTTAGCAGATACTGTGGTTGCATCTGCACTGTGGGTTCTTATCAAGGCTCCATTTATCATTTTCTCCTCTTGTTTTAAACTTTATGAAGATCTTTCCATAGGATGTTATTTCTAAAAAGCCATTACAAACAGAAAAGGAGCTTGTGGAATGTAAAACACTATTTCTTTGGGACTCATGCACGGAACTGCAGACACCACAAATCCATGGGTTGAAACTCTTAACTCTGGTACCTCAGAAGTGACTTTATTTGGAAATAGGGACACTGCAAATGTAACTAGTTAAGATAAAGGCATACTGGAAGAGACTGGTGCTTATAAAAATGGGAAATCTGGAGAGAGACAGACATGCACAGGGAGAACCCCACATGGAATGAAGGCAGTGGTCAGGGAGCAAGCACCAGAAGCCACGGTGAAGATCCGCTCTCCTGGCCCTCAGAAAGAACCACCAACTCTGCTGACACCTTGACCTTAGACTTCAAGCCTCTAGAACCATGAGGAATACATTTTTTCTTGTTTAAGCCACTCAGGCTGTGGCACTCTGTTATGGCAGCCCTTCCAAACTAAAACAGGAGCATCTGACAAGATTTATTAAAATTTTAAATCATGCGCTCTTTGACCAGGGAATTCCACATCTAGAATTTACCCTTCAAACATGCTCACAAACTCATTTCACAAACACACATGCATAATGATGTTCACTGAGGCATTGCTTAATAGCAAAACATCAGAGGGGTTCTAAATGACCAACAGTTGGGCACTAATTATAATACTCTCCACTCTACATTTTTGTTTTTTCTTTATATATATACCAGGGATCAAACTCGGGACCTTGCGCTTGCAAGGCAGGCAGTGGAACCACTGAACTAAACCCCTGGCCCTGCACTCTCCAAATACCTCAATTTCATGAGTGACAAAGACAAACCGAGGAACTATTTCCTATTAAAGGAGACTAAAGATATTTAAGGAGACTGATGATACTTAATATGAAATCTTGGGTTGGATCTGGATCAAGGAGTTAAGAGGAAGTGGAAGAGGATAAAACACTACTGCAACAAAAGATGAAGCTGGTGCTAAAAAAATACAGGCATACGTACATACATACATATGCATATGTATGAGTTAGAAAAAGAGTAGGCAACAAGGGCTCGCTCTGCTTTCATTTTTTTTGGTTTTATGTGTAGAGCTGGGGACTGAACCCAGGGCCTCTGGCAGGCTGGGATGTGCTCCAGCCCTGAGCTATACTACCAGCTCCCTCCCTGTGGTTTTGTAAATAGAAGTGCTGTAGGCCAAAGCCATGCCATTTGTTTACATGTTATCTAAGGCTGTTTTTACACCACAAGGCAGAATTGAGCAGTTTTACCAGCCTGGATTGCAAAGCAAATAATACCTACTATCTATAACCCTTTATAGAGAATTTTCCAGTCTCTGGTTTAAGAAATACATGTAAGGTAATAAGAGCTGTCTCAAGGAAACAAATTTTTGAGATAAACCTTCTGTTAATCTTTGAAAGTGTTTTGAGTATATGGCTTTAATTTTTTTTTTTTTTTTTTTT